CTTGACTGTTTGATAATAGCCATTCAAACCTGTGAGATGAAGTCTCATTGTAGTTTTGATTTGCATTTCTCTTGTGATAAGTGATATAGACCTTCCTTTTATATGTGTGTATTGGCCATCTGTATGTCTTCATTGGCAGAAGGCTAATTTGGATCTTCTCTGCCCATTCTCTTTTAATCAGGTTATATTTTAGTTGTTACTAAGTTACACAAGTTTGAATATTAACCCCTCGAGTGCTATGTGAATTGCAAATATCGTCTCTCATTCGGTAGGCTGTATTTTCATTTTGGCAATGATTTCTTATGCTATGCAGATGCTTTTTAGTTGGATATAATTCCATTTGTTTAAATTCTCTTTTGTTTACCTTTCTGTTGGAGATGAAGCCACAAAGACATGACTAAGGCTGATGTGAGAGAACTTACTACCTAAATTTTCCTCTATGTATTATATGATTTGAGGTATAAATTTAAGTCTCTCATCCATTTTGAATTTATTTTAGTATATGATGGAAGATAGTGATCTAGTTTCATTCCCCTTGTGTGTGGCTGTCCAGTTTTCCCAACATCATTTATTGAAAAGATTTTTCTCTTGTGTGTTCTTGCCTCCTTTGTCATAAATTAGTCGTTCTTACATGTATGGTTTTATTCATGGTTCTTTGTTTTATTACATTGAATTGTGTAAAAATTTTTATTTTAACCCCTTACTGTTTTGATTCAAACCATAGTTTGAAGTCAGGGAGCATAATACTTCTGTTTTGTTCTTTTTTTCTCAGGATGGTTTTGGCTATTCAAGGTCATTTTTAGATCCATACAAATTTTAGATTTTTTTTTTGTTTCTATTTCTGTAAAAAGTGCTGTTGGGAACTTAATATGGGTTAACATCAAATTTGTATATTTTTTTTGTAAAATGGCCATTTTTGAATTAATGTTTTTGTGTCCTGTGTGTAGATACCTAGGAGTGATATTGCTGGGTCATATGGTAGTCCCATTTTTAGTGGTCTGAGGAACCTACACAAAGCTTTCCGTAGGGTTGGACCAATTTGCTGTCCCTATAGCAGTGTAGGAGATTTCCATTTTCACCATATCCTCACCATCATTTGTTTTTGCCCATTTTTTAATATGAGTGTTCTTACTAGTATAATTTTATATTCTGTATTATATATGTAATTCGTATCTCCTGGTGGTTTTGATTTCCATTTCCTGATTTTGAGAGGAATTGAACATTTTTTTCTTTTGTCTGTTAGCCATTTGTACTTCCTCTTTGGAAAAATGGCTTTCAAGTTCTTTTCCAAAAAAAAAAAATGTAACCATTACACCATCCTACATTTTTGTACGATGTATGGTTTCTCCGTGAAATTCCCACCACAAATTGACCCATGCACCATCACTATAATCCCTGATGCTCTTTTTTTTTTTTTTTTTTTAAGATTTAATTTATTTGTACATACAGAACTAGGGTACAGGCCAGAGGCTCAGGGGCGGTGAGAGGCTTCACCAGAGACAGAGTGGTAGCAGAACAGGCAGATCGAGGAAGTGCACTGCTGAGGGGAGCAGGGAGTGGGTCAGGAGAGGTCTGGCACGCCATGTGGTCACCTCCGAGGCAGGCTGGAATCGAACTCATGTGCAGGTGGCTTTAGCATCTCAGTGCAGTGCTTTAACCCGCTGCGCCACCAGGGAGGGCCCCCTGATGCTCTTTTTACTATTGTCCTGGTCCTTCTTCCTCCTCCTCCCCTTCAGAATGTCTCTGATCTATAGTTGCCTGATGATTTTCATTTTTACTTTATTATAGTTACCTTATTTTCACATTCCTTTTTTGTTTTCTCTACATTCCTCCTACAAATGAGATCATCTATATTTTCTTTTACCTCCTGGCTTATTTTGCTGAGCATTATCCCTTCCAGCTATATCCATGTGGCTGAGAAGCACATGAGTTTATCCTTTTTGATTGTGATGTAATAGTCCATTTTATAAATATACCACATCCTTTAAGTTCTAAAGATTTTTTTAACTGGATTGTTTCCTTTGTTTTTGGTGACTAGTATGAGTTCTTTGTAGACCTTTATGATAAGTCCCTTATCAATTTTATGAACTGCAAAAATTTTTCCCCAGTCATTAGGGCATCTCTTTGATTTTGCTAATATCTCTTTTAAAGTACTGAAACTTTTTAGTGTGATGTAGTCCCAGCTGTTTGTTTTTCTTCACATTCTTTGCTTTGGGGATGAGTCTTTAAAGATGTTACTGAAATGTATATCTTGTATTTTGCCTATATTTTCTTTTATATATTTTATGGTACACGCTCCCCTATGCTTACTTAAGCACTATTTAATAATAAGTAACGTTGGAAACATCCCAAGTACCCCAAAGTGGATGATTGGATCAAGAAGATGTGCTATATATATACACAATGGAATACTATTTAACAGTCAAAACAGATAAATTCATGCTATTCTCAGCAACATGAATGGAGCCAGAAGGGATTATGCTCAGTGAAACAATCAGAAGGAAAAATAAAAATATCAGATTGTTTCACTTATAAATAAGGGATTTGGGAAAAAATAGTAACAATAAGAAGCAACAAAACAGAAAACAAACAGAAAACTGTAAATCAGACATTCTGCAGGGGAAGAGGAGGGAGAGGGATCAAAACAAGGGAGGTAAGATCACAATGGACTGTGTTGATGGTGTAGGGATGAATTTGTTGTGGAAATTCAGTGGGAACTACACCTGAGAAAGGAAAGCAGACATTGCAAAAAATGAACAGTTATGTCATGGATACATGCATGCATGCATGCATGCATACATACATACATATATATTATATATAAACACATATATATAATATACATATATATGAAAAATGGCCATTTTGACAATAATGATTCTTTACAAGGCAGGATTTGGAGAAATTATTCTGTCTTTTAACATGAAACAAAATGTTTCAATATAGACACCCCAGGCAAAGCCTTTTTGATGTGTGCTTGTTTTGTTTGTTTAGCATACCAACACAAAATTTGTTTATTGGGGAAGACTCATATTACAAGAATGTCAGCATACAATAAAATTGGCAGCAAAAGTGTGAAGGTTCCAAACCTCTTGGCAAGACTAGGAAACTGGCACTGTAGAGTGGTAGGGCCTGGTCCAGAGAATTTCTGGCCTTGGTCAGGATACAGACATAAAAGGACTACTTCTCAGATTAAGAGTCCCTTGTGATTCTTGCCAAAACCTGGACATGCAGTCCATGGACCATGGACATAAATTCAGCAGCATTGCAAACTGGCTTAAATTTGGTGTCTGTATTTCTACCACTTTTCAGATATCTATCTATGTATTTATATAGATATAGATATAGATAGATATAGATATATCAGAACCACTTGTTTAAGTGGGGCCTCAAGGCATAGCCAGGTTTTTCTTTATGCTTGTCTTTGTCATGATCAGTGGCTTCATAAATAATTGTTTACTTGTTAATTGATGACTTTAGTGCTATGACTTAATTTTTCCCACCTTTCAGTCAATCTGGGTCATTACAATATCAATATATACAACATCCCCTCAGTCAGGGCAACCACAATACCAATACTTGTGACAATATATCATATATAATAGTTAGAATATGATGAAGGAAGTGGACTTCCTAAGAGTGGCATAGAATAAGGGATGATCATAAAGACTAGATTTTATGTAATGATGAGAATTAGTGGAGAAAGCTGTGAGCAGTTGTTGCTTCCAAATATGGTGGTGAATTTCAAGTTACTATTTTAGTAAGATTGATGGCTGAGAAGAAAAGCTGGATGTAGAATCTAAAGTGTGTCTCTGATGACAGCATTAAATTGGATCTTTTTTTCTAGCTTGATAATATAGATGTATTCTTGTTATTGAGTTCTTTTCTTTAGGATCTTTGGAACAAAATAGTTCTTGTGAAATAGTTGGCACATGCTATGAAATATATCTAATTAATCATAATAGGAAAAAAAACTGATGGAAAGAACTTGCAGTTGATATCTCTCTTTATTAGTGACTTCTCAGAACTCAAAAGAAACTGACATTATTCCACCTGTTGAATTTACTTCCTTTTTACACTATCATCTACAGGAATTTACTGATTGACCTGACTTCCACAAATACTCTATTGGAAGTAAAATATAATAACTTTAAATATATTATAGCATTCCTAAAGATCTTGACACCTAAAAAACAATTAACTTGCAGATATACTTCCCTGTGATAAAATGTCTGGTTATTTTATAACCTTATTGGTTTAGATGTAATTATTAGCATCAGCACATCTACTGCCATCATGTTCATAATCCATGTTCTAAGCTCTATATATTTGTAGCTCATTTTTTCCTCACAAAAATCCTATGAGCTTGATTTTATTTTTATTTATTTATTTATTTTTAAGATTTATTTATGCGTACAGAGTTGGGATACAGGCCAGAGGTACAGGGATGGTAAGAGTATTCACCAGAGAGAGAGTGGGGAGCAGAACAAGCCAACTGACGAAGTACACTGCTGAGGGGAGCAGCAGGCTCAGGAGAGGTCTGCTACAACATGTGGGTCACTTCCAGGGCGGTGATCAAACTCATGCTGAAGTGGCTTTAGCTTCTTAGTGTTGTGCTTTAACCCGCTGTGCCACCAAGGAGGGAGCTCAACTTTATTTTAAATCTCTATTTTGCAGATCGAGGAAATGTACAGTAAAGTGGCTAATAGCATGTTACTACATATTTCCATGTTTAACATTGTGTATCAAATCTATTTCATATTACACCAGTGGAAAGTATGTTTATTGTTAAATCATCCCAGGTAATAATAGTTGTTGAGTAAGTTATTTCCATTTTTTTTTCCAAAAAGACATATCTTAAAGAGTTTCTCGAAGTTTATACATATACTTTGAAGTTATTATAATTGATAATGTCTATATATGTATATATAACATATTATTGTGCAGTTTCTCTAATAAAGAAGTCAATGAAAGGATATTTTTATACTTTATGCATACAGGAAGCAGTGAAGGAAAACTACAAGAGAAAAGAATTGGAAGAGAAATCTAGGAGGGCAAAGATTGCAAAAGAGAAAGCAGAACAAGAAAAGTTGGAACGCCAAAAGAAAAAGAAACTACTCATGGATATAAACAAAGGTATGAGGTATTTCCTCTTTTTAAAAAGATACATGAAGTGCAAAGTATATGCATTTAGTTAATTTTGGACTATATGATAAATTTTGTTTTTTGGTAGAAAACTCACATTATTATTAGTTGTGTCCATTTTCTTCAATAACATTGTCTGTATTTCATGTCATCCTAGCATTAGTGGGCAGGATTTTTGACAACCAGTGTAAAATAATGTATTGTTGAACAGTAATTTTCTCTTCTTCTTTTTTTTTTTTAACCAAATTATATTATGTTCTGGATTAGAATTAGACATAAGGAGGGAAGAATAGTTTGAGCTAAAAAGAGAAAAAACTGACATGGACAGATGAGTTCAAATTTGATTTTTTTTTTTTTTACACCACTGACCTTGCAATAACAATTAACACTATTCCTTGGGGGCTTGAATTCTTCAAACCATAATAGATAGTGACAGCCCTGTTATAAGTTAAAATAAAGAGGGGCATCTTGTGCAGCTGTGAGCCTCAAAGTGTAGGTATGTGCACATAATAGAAATATAGTCATTTTCTTGGTGACAAGAATGACTGTATATTAGGACCTTTTTTCAGTTTAGTTTTGTTTTTAAAGAAAAAGGAGTGGGCGGGGGGGAGAAGAATCAAAATGAGCTTGGGAATGGTACAAGGGACCGTGGTGATGGTGCTTAGGTACATGGGTGACTTGGTGGTGTGAATTCGATGGGGACTACACCTGAGAGGAGAGAGTATGCATTATACATAAAGGAAGAATGATGTAAAATGTATATAAGTTTCTTAAAAGAAAATAATAAAATAAGGCAAAGCAAAAAAAAAAAATTGAAAATAAAATTTTATAATTCAAAGAAAGAAAAAAGAAGGTAAGTAAAGAAAGTGGTTGGTACCAGGTAGCTACATGCTGAAATTTTAAACATAAAAAAGCACAGTCTTTGCTGCTGAATTGTAGAGAATTTAAAAACAAAATGAAACAAATTCTGAAAAAATACAGTGTATGATTAATATGGACCACTTTTTACTAAACAATAAGAATTGCAAGCACTGTATAGTATTGACTATATGCCAGACACTATTCTTAGACTTTTGTATTATGTCATTTAATACTCGTAATATCTCATTAAGGTAGATGTGATTATTATCTCAATTTAATCATGCAGAAACTAAAGCTTATAGAAATTAAGGAATTTACCCAATTTCACAGAAGTAGCAAGTATTGATTCCAAACTGGTTTCCTGTTTTCTAGCCATGGAATCTCAGTATATAGGCACCTCATTTTAAAATAGTATCAATGACCAATACATACAAGCAATTTACATATAGAATTTTTCTTACACATTTACATATATGAGCATTTTTAATCCTCATAAATCACATTGGAAAGCATACCACCTCATTGCAAGATAAAGAAATTGAGGTACACAGAAGGAAAGCATTTTGCCCAAATTCACATAGACAGTAAAAGATAGAAACAAGATCTGAACATAGGTAGTCTGTGGTCGGTGTTAATATAATTTTGTAATCATTATCAATAATTCTGCAGTAATATCTCTTAATAGCTAATCTTTTGAAATGGTATCTATAGCATTAAGTTTATTCTTCAGACTTGGAAAATATATATAAATGTCTATATTGATTATAGTTTATCTTCCTGTGCAGAAAATAAATACAGCATAATTTTAAAACAGATGTAAATAAAGTAGTATCAACCTAATTTGGCAAATAACCTTCATAATTAGGGTTAAGAGTAGTGGACCTGACTGAAGATCTCTCAGATAGGAAAAGTGCTAGAGCACAATATGGGAATGGGTATTTGTTGGAAGTTCTTGCTTAGAAAATAATGAAGTCAGATGAATAGCACAGAAAATTAATTGGCTGGTGTGTATAGATGAGTAGTGAGGAAAGAAATTGGAAGAGGTAGAGGACTGCCAAGACTAAAGAAGATCTTAACCCTGAAAGCCATGGGAATCCTATCAGAAATTTGAACCGCAATGCGGGGTGTTCAGTTAGTTTTCTTAGAAAGATCAATTTGACAGAGCATAGAGAAAGGCTTGGAAAGAGAAAGGTGTGAGATAATAGAGATTATGAATTTATCATACACCTGGCAAGTGATGATGGTGGGCTGAAGTAATGAAGTTAAGGAAGTCACCGGAAAAAGCTATATTAAAATTAAAGTTCTATTTCTCTTAAAGAATTGTTTTGTTTGATTTTATGATTATGGAGGCTGGCAAGTCAAAATTATGCAAATTATGTACAAATCCAAATTCTGACAGCAGACTGGAGACTCGGAAAATCAATGTTGCAGTTCATCTAAGATCATCCGCTGGCAGACTGCCCTCTTGCTCACAGGAAGTCATTATTTTGACCTATTCTGTCCTTCAACTGATTAGATGAGACCCATCCACATTATAAAGGGCAATCTATTTTACTCAAAGTCCATTAATTTGAATGTTTATTTCATATAAATTCACATTCACAGAAACATATGGAATGATGTGTCAACAAATATCTGGGCATCACAGACCAGCCAAATTGCCAGAATACTAACTATCACTAGAGGGCTATTTTAAGGTACAACTGACTGTTCTTGATGTTTGATTAGATGTGGAAATCAAGAATGAGCAGCATTAAGGAGGTTTCATCTTTCATAGAGATATTACAAATCAGGATTGAAGCACATTTCATACTCTGTGATGAGTGTCATTTTGGATGTGGGTTTTGTTTTGTTTGTTTGCAGATGCCTCCTAAAGTTAGGAAATGTCTACGTAACCTTGGTATTTATGCATATGGAACTTGGGAAGTGGTACAGACTAGAAAGGCTCCCAGGTCTTTGGTTTTTATTTGGTAAAGTTAAGGTCTGTTAGGACTAGTGCTACTTTAACAAAGTACCACATACTAGAAGACTTACAACAAACATACTTATTGTCTCAGAGTTCTGGATACCACAAATCAAGGTATAGTCAGGGCTATGCTAATTTCTGAAAAAAATAAGGAAGTGCCTGATCTAAGCCTCTCCCCTCACTTGTGGTAGTAGTGGCCTGTGCAAGCATTATGCCAGTCTTCACACATCTTCTTCGTTGCGCATGTCTGCCTTTACATGTTCTTCTTCTTATTAGGACTTCAATCATATTGGATTAGTATGACCTAATCTTAATTATACAATTTAAATCATGACATGTTTCAATGAGGTCACTAGAGTAAGTATAAAGTAGAGGTTCTGAAAATATTTAGCCTCAGAATGAATTTACACTTAAAAAAATTATTGAAGAGCCTGTCTTTTGATTATTTTAGGGAGATAGTGTGTGTGTTGGGGGGGAAGAATTGAAACACAAAAAATTAAGATAATTTTTTAATTACTATATTCTATTAAAATAACAATGGCCAAGTCTTTTCTATGTAAAATAATGTTCTTTATGAAAAGTAACTATCTTCCAAAATGTAAAAAATTAAGAAGAAAAAATAATGCTGTAAATCTCTTCAAAGTATGGCTTAATTAAAGATTGTTTTATTTTCATACCTGCTGTAGTGGTGATAGCACTAAGGCTTAACCTCTAGGCCTTCAAGGGGGCCCTAAGATGAAATCTATAGTTTCTTTTCCCTGCAGGAATATAATCTTGCTCTATATCACACCACAAATTTCTCCATCCACCTTTCACTATTTTCCTCAAGAAATGCCTACAGCAGAAAAAAAATAAAGGGCCTATTTTGTTTTGTCTATGGTATGTTTTCATTTGTCAAAATTTAATTGCCTCTTCAAATACCATTAAACATATACATTAAATACCCAAATAAGTTTTTATGAAAATCCTTAGCATTTCATAACAAGAACACGAAAGACACTCTAAAATAGGATTTATCTTTTTTGTGTTTGTTACATTACATCTATTAATACATCAAATATAATTTTTGCCGTTAGGTTCTTATCTTGTGAACAATACATTATAAACACTTATATTAATTTTACACTTAGAGTATATATGTCCCTTGGGTAAAATAAGCCGCTTGAAAATTATTAAACAATTTAAAAGCATATGTACCCTTTGTTTAAAATTTCTGTATCTTATCTCTTTACCAGATTTGTAAAACCCTCCAGTTTTAATATCTCTTATGGTTCTAGAGAGCTAATAATTAATCAGTAATATATTGCATTTTAGCATACATTATTCTATATGCTCATCAAGAAAAAAATGCTGTAGAATTTCATTATTCAGAAGAATAAGAGGAAAAAACATTATTTGTGTAATCTAAATTTGACTGAGCTCAGAATTAAGTAAAGCTATCATGAAAACTAAGGAACCAGAGAGTTTTAACTTTTAAGTTAAATGCATAAATAATACCTTTGCTCCAGATTCCAATCTTAGAGAATTTGAGATGAGAAGGCAAAGGTGATATAGTATTTTTTTTCATTGTAAAGGAGAAAAAAAGGCATAATTATGTGTTAAAGAGACTCTTATAAACATTAGTGGCATAGCGAAAATGTTACTAAAATCTGTACCATAAAAATTTGGAAATCAGGCCTAGCTCTTTCAGTTACTAGCCTTAAGACATTGTTCTGTTCTTTCATCTCCCACACCTCTGTTTGCTCATCTGTTGTATAAGGCAATGACATTTATCTTCTGTAGTTTCCGTGAAGATTAAATGAGATAAGTATGCTCCATACATAGCACCTTGAATACACTTGCCTCTGACAATGAAACGTGGCAAACCTATGGAAGCAGAATGACTCAGTTGGTGGGTACTCACTAGCTCACTTAAAAACGCAGTACACACAGAATTTAAAATAAAAGGATACTTGGGCCCTCCTGGTGGTGCAACTGGTTAGGACGCAATACTGCAAGCGAGCCATAGCCGCTTCAGTGCGATCCTGGCCATGGAGGTGACCCATATGGCACAGCAGACCACTCCTGACCTGCCCGCTGTTTCTCTCAGCAGTGTACCTCTTCCATCTGCCTGTCCTGCCCCCCACTCTGTCTCTGGTGAAGCCTCTCACCGCCCCTGCACCTC